AAAAGTGTATCTCCATTGGAAAAGTTACGCCAGATTTACCAATTGAAAACAGCATAAGAGTATAACAACATAAAAATATAATATTCATTTTATAACACGAATAAATTTTTTATATATTGTATGTAAGTATATTATTGTTAGTATTGCATTGGAATAGTAATCATCTAACTATAAATAGTACGTTTTTTATAATATTTAAAATATTAATATTAAATTCAATGTAGTAATATCTATTAACTTCTAAACAAAATGTGTTCAGTGCGTGTTTCCACCTCTAACACTGAGAACTGTATTATCGATAAGCCTGCACTATCAACAAACAAACAACAAATTCATTGTGTAAAAAGAAAAATCCAGCAGATTGCGAAAAAATATTTATATAAAATTTACTACTAAATGATGACTTTAACGAAAACAATTGACCAAGCAACTATTTTAACCGGAGATCGGTCGAAGTATGTCAAATGATTTTATTTAATTTTATTGACATTTTCATAAATTGTAAATTATTTTACAGGTTAAAAGATTTACTGGCAAGTCGTTTGGCCGAGTGTGGTTGGCGTGATGAAGTACGTCTTATGTGTCGCAATACGATTAAGGTAAAAGAATAAGTACATATTTATTTATTTTTAATTATGCAATATTGTATATCTTCATATTATCAGGAAAAAGGAACAAATATAAAAGTTGAGCAACTTATTGCTGATATTACGCCAAAAGCACGCACACTTGTACCTGATACTGTCAAAATGGAGTTATTAATGAAAATTAAAACTATACTTGCTAAGCAAGAAGGTATAGATTTGTAGGAAAACGAATTATTTTTAATACAGTAAAAATTATGTATTGAAAGTTTTAAATAAGGCTGAAGTTTGTAATTTATTGATTTGCAAAAATTTATATGTGGACACAAATGCTTTAAAAGTATTTTCAATAAATTAAAAAATTTCTGAAATGAAATACTCATAATTAATGAAGATTAAATTACATGAAATATTCAATACATATAACGTTAATTCAAGTATCGATAATACAAATCAAAACCCTTAAATTCTTCCTTTCAATTTAAAGAAGTTTAGGAATTTTATTGATCAAATTCTTAACATTCAAAGTCAATTTTAATAATATTTGTTACATGTATGTAGTATTTATTTAGATTGCTAATTATTTTAATACTTTTTGTAAACAATTTTATTATGTATTCAATAATTTTTATTTAAAAATATAATTTAAGGCAGAATATAGAAAACATTTAAAAAAGAGCAATAATATTTAGAAAATTTATATGAAATTAAATAGTTTAAATAATGAAATTTAGTATAGTTTTTAAAATTAATTCGTATACTATCTATTGATTTATGTGTAAATTATTTTTGTAGAAACCAAATTTATTTTATTTTTATTCATGAAATATCTTGAAAATCCGTTACACCGTTGTAAATGAAAATAAATAAATGTTTATGATGTATTTTAAATTTCTGTATGTAATTTATAATTTGTAATTAAATATTAATAAATATAAATTATGCTTAATGTTTTTGAAATCAAAGAGTAGTGTTAACTTTACCTCTAGCTCGGCTATAAAACTTAATATTCATATTAAATAAAACCGAGCAATTTTAATGAAAAAAATTAAAATCTAGTAGCTATCTCTACTATAGTCTGAGAGCTTTTATAATTATTCAATAAAATTAATTTGGCCCCAACGTCTGTGTTGTGCTTCCAACAATAAAGTCGATAACTAATTGAACGTTCTATGCCGAGGTAAAACGATTTAAGCCTAGTCTCGACTTTAAGCTACAACTGCGTAGAAAGGATTATTAAAACACTTAAAGTTTCCATTTAAAGCATTAGGAAGCACTGTTATATTATAAAAACGCTAAAATTCGTCCGAAAGCTCTAAAGAACTATAGAGCATGCGTGGCCCGAATTAGGAATTTCTGGCTAAGTCGCTGAAAATTTTCTCTTAAGTTAATGTTTCAATCAACATGACCATGCTTTTATTTTGATGAAGCATATATGTATATCAATGTTTGCACTTTTTACTTTATTAAAAGCATTCATATTAAAGCTTTTGCAGCTCGTTGAACGCTTCGGTATGCGATGTCAATACCAAAACAGTTTCTTTTCTTTCCGTTTCGATTTTGCAATGAAGATTTAACTTTTAAGTTTCAGAGCTTAAAAGAGTTCAATTATTTGAATTATAGTTTCCATGATTTTTTTTGTTGCAGGTCGTGGCATAGACATCTGTTGTTGTTATTGTTATAATTCGCCGGGATCTAAAAGCAGATAACATGTAAGGATTACAAGACGAATACATAAGTTGGGATGTGGATAGGTGGTGTTTGGGGTAAGAGTGGAGAGAAAAAGAGAACACGGCATATAAAGGATGTATGGGACTGCAATTGAAGTCAATCCAAGTCCAGACGAAGAAACCTGACCACTTCAAGAGAGTGAGTCCAAAGATAAACAACTGTCAGTTTTATTGCCTGTACAAAAAACTAAATCAACTGAATATTTTAAAATGTCTTATGAAATCTTCCAAAACTATTATCATGCACTTATGTTACTTAAGTATTTGGTGTTGACCACTTAACCTACACTTATAAACGTATAGTAAGCTGTAATATTACTGAAATGTGCCTTACAGCATTGACCTTAAATAACAGAAGAACAGTGATGTTTTGGTATGACTGCATACCGGTCATGTCACTTGACATACATACATATATTGCACAACATACATATATGGCAAAACAAGATCAATTTCCTCATGGCACGCTCATTTATTTATAGATGGCAATACAAAATTTTTGAGTAGTCTCTATTATCAATCAAGCCATGTTTGTGTGCTGTGCATAGTAAAAAAGATCGAATTATTATATTATTAATTTTTAAGTAACATTTTTAATAATGTGTTTTGGCTGTGGTAATCGAAAATATTAACTATAAATAAATAATGTTGTAACCATGGTTTCTGCTGTATATAGAGATTACATAATATATATTACAGATTCCTTCCAAAAAGAAAATAAACTACATACATATAAATTATATTAAGATACTCACAGTATTTTCACATTTTTTTCTTGCATTTATTAACCTCATATCACTCTCATGCTTTGACAATTTTCTTAATTTAAATTCAAACAAATTTCTTTAAATGCAACCCTGCAAAGTATTTACTGCTCATTATAAAAAACTAGGCGGTAAATTTTGGTTTTATGATTACAATACGTTAAACTATAGTTCGAAAGACATTTCGTGTAATATAATGGAAACAAGTCAGAAAAATGTAATCAAAGCTAGTGAGCCCTGCTGTAGAACTTGCAATGAGGAAAGAAATATTAATTTTTCACATTCCCTCGAGAAGAGCATTGAATGTTATCCGAGTTCTGCGTATATACTATTGGAGATAGCAGGAATAAATGTAAATAGGATTTAAATAATTTCGATAACAGATCCTTGTTAGCTAAAATCGAATGTTATTCATTTAAATGAAATAGATCAAAATAGATAACTTTCTATCCAAATACATATGCGGAAATTGTTTTAATAATTGAAAAATGCATACACTTTCGTGAAGCAGGCACAGCGCGTTAATAAACAATTTGTTACTCAACTACAAGACATGTATATTAATAATGTGCCCAATGAACAGATCCAAGTGGAGGAATTGCAAATAAAACACAGATGAAAATAATTAAGAAAGTTTTGGATACGTTGGTTTGAGTAGCTTAGAAACTTACGATGAATTTTATATAAAACAGGAAGAGTTCATATGTCTTAAGCAGCAAGATGAAACAACTAGTTTTATTCTATATAAGTTCATAAATACTCATAATTTCTGTATCTAAATAAATTTTCATAGCATTTAATAAACAGGATTCAATATATATAGCTGAGAAGAAATTGGTTAGAAATAATAGTAAAAACCAATTGAATTATATTAACGATATGGAAAGCATAGACAGGTAGTCACATAAAATACATATATACAGAAAATAACTAATGTTTATTATTACAGCAGTAAAGTATCAGATAATCAAACTAAATGTTCCAGCCGTACACTGCTTTCAACTAAAAAACCCAATTTCAAATGGTAGAATTTGTTGTAATATATGTGGAAAGATTTTTGCTTATAAAAGTAGTTTACATCGCCATGAACAAACGCACTTTGAACCCAACTTGGAATACAGATTTTGTGATCGTAAATTTTTTCGTAAATATAAGCTTAAAAAACATTTAAATATCCAGGAAAAATCTAATATTAATTAAAACGGTATCTGTGGTCAATTTGGAGAACTGTGATTAATTTAAAGGAACTAGTGCATTAATGATACATATATATGGCAGTACCTCTAAATCATTTCATTTGCTATTTACTAACGTTAAATAAAAACATATATGAAAGACAATGCAACAGCACTATAGGCACTTAAAAAAAATAAAACATTGATGCTTTTGATTCGGCACAAATGAATCTAAAACTACGATTAAACTAAATAAATGCTAAATGTGTACAAAAACATAAATTACGTCCAGATGTAGAGGAACAACAGACATGGATTGTTTAGTTACTTTCTATTACACGTGCAAAATAGTATCTGTCACTTCTATGTAAGTATGGTGTCATTGCCACGAACAGAAATAAGGACTACAATGCTTCGACAAATATCTGTGGTTTAAAAGACTACAATTAAAAGTCTTAACGGCTACAATTAAACGTCTTAACGGTTACCAAATTATGAATACAGGGAATAAAATAAAACTAAATATTTAATAAGTAGATGTAAGCAAAATCGTACAAACATAAAAAAATTCGAAACTATATTTGGGTAATCATAACTACTTTCTTCAGTTTCCTTTTTGCTATACATTTTCAGAAAGTTATAAGTTAAATTTTTAAACATTAACTGAATCAAATATGGTACATACAAGTAAAAAAATTATATTTTATCAATAAATACTTAAACTATAAAAATTGCATTACAGTCATTAACTAAGCGTAATTTAGTTTTATATCGATTTTAGTATTTGTGTATTTAACAAATTTAGTATCTGAAAGGTTAAACTACTGAACTACAAAGTCCACAGTTGCTAACCGGACACATTTTCATTTGTGTATCTTCGCCAACACGTACCACTAGTGCCATGCCATTTTCTGAATGCGTCGATATATGACAGTGTAATATCCAATAACCAGGGTTATCAGCATAGAATCGTATAATTGTATATCCAAAAGCTGGCACTTGGACAGTGTCCTTGAGCGGAGCATTCCGATTCCGACGTGATAATGGAGTCTTCCTATCAATTTCCTCAATCTGTAATACAAATGTTATAGGTAAATCTAAGAAAATAAAAATGAACTTAGCTACAAATTACATTGTTAATCAAATTTTCGCCTAAAACGCCCATACCCACAACACGGAAGGTGTACCCGTGCAAGTGTATGGGATGTGCAGAATTTGTTATGGCTGATATAACGAATTCAGTCTCCTTAAAGGCAGGCACCTGTATGACGTTAGTGCAGCGACAGTGTCTGCTGCGACAATTGAAACCCAAGTTTTCTTGATGGGTTTTATTACAAAAAAAGCGACCAATACCTAAGTTACGTGTTTGTAGCAAAGAGATTTTCGGTAAAGAAAAAGTGATATTGTCCATTTGAAATAGAAAGTTTCCTCGTTCATGTACGGCCATACTGATATAATGTGTACGCTGTTGTGACATAGGTGGCTCAAGACGTGGTTTCATCGAATTTGTTTCAACAATAGTTATACGTTCATCATTCTTAGTTGGAGCTTGGTCAAGTGGATTAAGCTTAATAATATAATAATTAATTTTTTAAAGTAAAGTAAAGTAAAGAAAAGTAAAGCAAAAACATACTTCCACACCTTCCGCTTCGTAGTCGTATGTTACCTCACCTTTAGGTCGTTCGGTTTGCTTAGCACCCATATAATGCAGTATGGCTTCTTGATGCAGGCTTTTGATTTTGCAAAAATTGTAACCCTAAGCAAAAATTAAACATTAATTTACTTACATATTTTTAATTGTATATAAATATATATTTTATGAAGAGGTGTATGGGGAAATTAATGTTTACTTATAAATAAAATATAGAACTTAGTGTAGATATTGTCAAGTCTACTTACCTTTATACGTAACCAATAATTTCCGACCTCCTGATTAGCATGCAGTATAAAATCAAATCTCTCACCACCATGAATTGAAAGTTTTTGTACTATAATGGGTTCAATATCATTTCCGTCACTTGAGATAACCACTAGATTATGATTATCGATACTTAGACTTACTGGACAATTGGCACAACCTGTAGATTACTTTAATTATTTCATACATTCGTTATGTATTTAAAATTATAGTACCATTGTAAATAACTCTGAATCTATAACGTCCACCACGTACAACTTTAAATATCGAATATAGCGTTGGCTGTTTGGTAATGCTATCATTATTGACATTCCGACCCAAACCATTTATGAGCAGATTCTGTGGTATACTCTCATCAAAGTTATAGACCCAATCTTGTATTATTATGATATGTTCAGAAAAATCAAAGTCATATAATTTTGCATGTACGTTTTCAAGTTTTGGTTGACGTGCTATAAAAGCACCTGCTAGTCCAAATGCACGCTGATGTTCAGTATGGCTGTGCCACCAATGTGTACCTAAAACAAATATAAATTAATTAATTAATCCTTTAACTGTTTTTAATATATAATTATATAATAATTAACATTATACATAAAAATAAAATATATATATATAGCTTATATATAACGTATATAGTTATATTTATATGCATGTATATTTAAATAATACACATTTAACATATATAACATTCTTATACATTCTATACACTCGTTATTTTAAAAAATACGTACCCGCATGATCCACTTCAAATCGATATCTAAATGCCTGTCCAGCTTCAATGGGATATTGTGTTATATGTGGTACACCATCCATGTGTGGAGTCTTCAGCTGATGTATGCCATGCCAATGTATAGTAGTGGTTTCGTGTAAGCTGTTAATCACATCTACTACAATTGTATCACCCATGCATACTTCAACCCCTTGCCCCGGCATACGTCCATTTACCACCATAATTTCAGAAGCAATGCCATCCGCAAATTTGCAATCGTCATAATCGTCGTAGTTATGCACAGTGAAGCCATCCACAAGTTCTTCGCCGGCTTTACCGGTCTTTATGCGATATCTCGCTTCTAAATACCGTTCGCAGCCTGGACCCATTGTTTCGTCGTAGTGTACAACCATATAATAATAACAAGTCATTTGTTTATCTTTAACACATTCACGTTTACATGGGTGTTGCTTGTAATCATCGCTGTCAATCATGCGCCAATTTTTAGATTCATAACTAGTGACTTTCGGGTACATTTGACGAATTTGTGCGAATTTTGTAAGCGTGCCATTTAAGTAAACTTGAAATAAACAAAAGAGGAGTCTACCATTAATGATGATTAAAGTAATTACGATATTGTTGTTTTTATACAATTGATATTGCAGTTTTCAGTTACTGTAATTTAATAAGCCAAAAACACACTCGAACTATAGTATTAGTATATAATTAGAGGTGGAGAACGATTATAAATAGTAAGATTTGGGATGATGTCGAATTAAAGAATACAGATATGCGTAGATATCTAATTCAAGAAAGAAGATATCCGTTAAAGGCAATTCTTTAAAGTGAAATAGTAAAATATATGTTATCCGAATAGGTCCTCTAATCTGCACAGTGAGTTGTTGTGGCCCGCGATCATATTTGCTCTGAACAGCCCTGATCTAAATAAATAGTTAGAGATATAATTGGATGTTGTACTATAGGTATCTCTCATTCCCGTGTTGAGAATGTGGCGTCTATTTCGTTTGTAGGTATGTGTTGCAATAATGTAAGGAGCTGCACATGTATTTTTAGAAGATTTTGCCTATACAAAAAAAATTTCGGAAAAAAAATAGTGATGAAATTGTTATAACTACATATTTTTATTAGCAAGGAAGTTTTTGCTACATTTACGGAGATATAAAGATATGTTTTTAAGTCTTTACTAATAGGGATCCCGAATAAATGTAAATTCATATATTTTCTCAAATTGGAACCACTTTATAATCCCTAATATTCTTGTTTAGTTCCTAATCAACAATAACGGTAATTTTTGTTTTGAATAATCTTTATTTATCATTGGATACTCTTTTTTTAAAAACTTATATTTATTATTGAGATATATAAGTCATAAGACCATTAATGTTGAAGACAGTTAACAATGCTTTCGTTTATACAAATTTTCGATAATAATTCAATTGCAGATAGATTTAATAAGAGATGTGAAATAATGAATTTCCATATGGATGTGTAGATAATTTTAGATAGCAATTTCTTATTTAGAAAGCCTTGTAAAATGACGACGCGTTGACAATATCTTTGGATATCCTTTTTTATTTTTGGAATGATGGATATTATTTTAAACGTACTGATATTGACCTGAAGTAATTATTATTCATAAATATATATAATGAATATAAAACAATTTAATAAAATTTAGTTTTATTAGGCTTTTAAATTCTGAAATGACATTTTTGGTGATTTTTAATGGTTAGAAAGGTTTTTGTTAATGGACGACAACTTTTCCAAAGATTTAAACTACTACACAATAGTGCACTGAACAGGATCAAATAATTATTATGTATAATAATACAGTCAATTATTTTTAATTTTTTACCGATTATTTTATATTATTTTTTTAAAAACTCAAATTGAAAAGATAAAGTTAAGCAACCACTTAAGTATTTTATCGTAAACAATGATTCATTAAAAATTCGATTTTAATTTTCAAAAACACTTAATTTTTATCAAAACACTGAATAGGAAATGTTGATCCAAATAATAAGATATTATTAACAGATAATAAAATTCCAAGTAATTTGCGCACTAATTGGGAATCCCGTTTTGGTATATAAGTGTCCTTTCGTTTGTGGATCTTTTATTTTTTGTTTAAATAAAATATATTTATATATATTTATAAAAATATTTATTTCATGGAAAATGGTATGAAATAATATTTTTTTTTAAAAACATTATTTTTTTTTTTTTATAAAGATGTGGAGCTTTTTTTACAAAGGACATGTTTTATTATTATATATTTAAAGCACTACCATCGGTAAAATTCATATTAATTTAACCAATTGTTTCGGAAACACTTTTTACACTAAATTTCACAAAAATAATAATATTTTGAATTTCTTTAATTTAACAAATAACAAATATATATATAAAATTTTTTTTTTTAATAACAATCTCTGTATATTTTCTATTTATTTGAGAAACTAACTTTTTATATATATTATATGTCAAATAAAGAAGGTATAAAGCTCAAATTTTTTTTTGAATTTAATATACATATAATATATACAATATTATCCTTTCTAAATGTATTATACATATTCATTAAATGATGTATAAAGCACAGATTTTTTGAGTAATAATTTTAGTTTTATATTTTTTTTATATTTTTATTTGAAAATATCCTTGATATGTTATTTATTCACTGCTTATATTCATGTACCTTAAGTACCTTTACAATTGATATTCTGTATTAGCAACAAACTGAGCACTAACAGATATAAACTTTTAATATTCCTTTGCAACTTGATATCCATATTATTTCCAGAAAAAGTGATTCTCCACTGATTATTTTTTTAACCGTTTCGCAGAATACACTAAAAACCGTTTTAATTTCGAACAATTTAAAAAATCAACTATTCTTTCGAAAATTGAGTTGAATCTTTTATAGCAAACTAAGCAACATTTTCAATGTCAGATAAGATATAGTCAATTATATATCTTGTTTTTATCTGCGAAATATTGTATATGCGAAGAGTACGTTGAGTTTTTTTTTGTTTTTTCATAGAACTTTACAATATTAATTACGACTTTGAGATTGTATGCAAATGTTTATATCTAAATCACATTTCCGATAACGAAGGTGAAGGTGCATGGAATCCAAAACAAAGTTATTCAACTAAACGATGTTATATATTACAAAACTTCTTATCGATATGAAGTGCTTATTTGAATTTTACATTTCGTGGGTGTGGTGTGGGTTGTAAGTTTACAATATATAATTGCACTACTAAAATGTAAAAAAATGTTTTCTAATATTATTTTACAAACTAAATTTAAAACTGTTATTTATGTCCAGTCATAGAAATACACCTTGCAAATGCTATATATAAAAATTATATTTTCACATGATACATTAGGACGAATGACATGCTCAGGGATGACATCAAGATTGATCCCATCAAAAAATACATAAAGGATAGAGCCCAGAAATTATTTGCGAAATCTGACAGACTTACCAACACCGCGTTATCAAATCTCAGAATGGTTACAAATGTCGGGGAGGTATGCAGATCTGAGGTCAATTATTGCTTAGTCTGATGAAGTGATAAACAATAATCTAGTCAAAGCGCAAAAAAGAGTTTTGAAGAAACCTCGCAGTCAATAGAGAGTAAAAGTGCTCAGGTGCACTGACTCAACTAGCCTCAACATAATAAATGATATAGTTAAATAAGATCAAAATTATAAAGTTCTTATATTCTTATATTATATCACCAATTAGAGCTTTTGCGGTGTTCTATTGTCAGATTCTTATTAAGAACTGATTATTTGGTTGTTTGTGTTGAAAGCACGGTTAAGTCCATGCGGTTTAGGAACTGTAAGAGCTTGTTAATATCAATTTCCGTTAGCTCTTCCAGATAGTTTACCTGACTTAGCTGAATTCTATCGCTAGAGGGCAGCACGTGTATTGAGGCAGTGAAAAATAGTTTTCATTTCCTCCAGCTGGACGTAACTGTGTCAGTAACTATTGTGAAGGATTTCCATTTTGGCGGCCTGCTCTCGTACAGACCAGAACCCAATAATCACTGCAATTAGTCTGTTGTATACTCCAGTTCAACTGGTTTAGTAAATTAAGTTTATGATATGATAAAAAATTTAGTCAAAATTTTTTTTTGTGATTTAGAAGAGCAAAGAACAACAAGAGAATCAGAGCAGATTATGTTAGGTCTGTATACCTTAATTGACACAACTAAAATCGTTGACTGGGTCCTTTAATGTAATTGTTTACAGAATTGTGCAATTGTGTGTCAAAATAATTTATGAATTATTATACGAACTTTTTTAGGACACTATGGAATTGCATTATTACCTTATAAATCTGGAAATTCACTTCACTGGAATTAGTATGTTTTGGAAGAAAGTAGGCTGTAAAATACGTAGCGGGAACGTGCTTTACAGTGATACACAGAAGAATGAAATATTTGGTTGACCTACGGAGTAATAAGATTTGGTAAACAAAGTTTCATACTCACTTTATTGAAAAAAATATACTTTAAAAATACTTTAAATCCATGAAACTTTCGCTGTGATTACAATGAAGGTCACAGTACAAGATCCTCTCAACCTAATAATTATAGTGATTCTGAAATATACAAGCAAGAAGAGGGAATAAAAAATATAACTCTTAATTCATAATTCATTATTATATTATCTTGTCAAGCAGTCTTAGCTATTTATGGAAAACAAGTTTCGAATTTGACAGGCACGAGTTTTAAGCCTAGCACTTGTAGTCTAACAAATTATATACGGATTATATACGGATTAAATAAAAATTCGAATATTTCCTAAGATCACTGATGATGAGTACTTGGCAATACTCGAAACAGCATTGTATAGTCAGTCAAATTTCAATAAATCAATCAAAATTTTTGTTGTTTCTTAATTAATGTTCGAACCCTTCTATAATATTTTTTTGTTGACTTGGTCTAACTTTTAAAAACTTTATTTTTAACATATTTCTTTTTATTTAAAAAAGTAAATTAAAAGAAATACAAAATATATTTAAATATATATATATATATACTACTTTTTATCTTTAAACGGCAATACTATTGTGGAATATAAACAACAAAAGTAATAATTTTAATTAGTGCTTTGCATTGAACTATTTCAATAGACTACTTCGTTCGACAATTACAGTAGCGTGAATTTAAAGATCTTTAAATAGCTTCAGATCTGTTTTCAAATTCTACTCCTTCAATCCATTAAATTATTTTTTTGTTTAATATTAATTTTTTCTTGCCGAGAGTGATGCGCCTTAATGACGAAAAAAAACTATTTAAAAGTTAGAAGTCGAATAGCAAAGAAAAGACAAGAACAAAAATGTAATTAATTTATTGAAATTAACTAATTAAAATAATTAACTGAAAACATTGCCTGAAAATACAAGAAGTTCCGGGTCCACGGGTCCGAACCATCCAATTAACTAAAATTGTTCTACAATCAGTACTTTAATATAATCACTATAAGTATTGCTTCTTATAGTAGGGCACTCACCTTCCGGGGCGCCGGATTGTGGTCAGTTCATAGGTATTCCATTCCTCCTTGACGCAAAAAAAAAAAATAAACGCTTTGGTAATGAATTCAGGCTAAAACTTAATAGTTACAGAGAAATATTCCGTAAAAAAAACATCAAAAACATCAAAAAACATGACCACTGGTACATCTTGTCTCTGTTATCATATCTAAAAATTTTGTTGTCCATTCTTTAAAAAAAAACGTGTGGTACAGTAGAAAGCTTTCTTTGTTTTTTACTCTGAGATGCAATTAGCATGTATTGTATTTCATAGCAAGAAATATTTTATATAAAATTGTACTGGGAGTAAAACTACTTAATTTTTCTTTCTACATTTGTAGTTAAAGACAATTTAACTGAATACATTTTTTTTATTAAAAAATATTATAATATGCTCTCATTTTAAATTTTTAAACACTACTTTTATTTTTGATTTATGTTATTGAGGTCAAACTTTACAATCTTATGTTAATCGGCAGTATCGTCTGAGTTCATCCTGATCTCTTTCAACAAATCTTTGTACAAATTTAACTATGTAAGTTTCTAAACTGCAAATCCAATTACTTATATAAACACACTTTAAACAAATACTATATAACAAAAAAACGTCATCAATATCAGCCGTATTGCAATCTTCTAGTGTCCTTTAATATAATTCTTGATCATTATATAGTGTCCCTGATCATAACTCTTACGCGATACTAGACTATCGTTGAAGTTATCAGTCTCAATTACTTAAATGATCACATTCAAAAATAGTTTAAAATATAACACTCTGCTGCGCACTAAGCAGTAATCAATCTTGTTTTACTACAATTTCCTTTCTTAACTTTAACATGCTACTTACCTGGTATCTAATATTTATTAAATCACCTTGAATATCAAAGAAAGCGATACCATTATTAATGAGTTTATAACTTGGTAAATTGTTACAAAAAATTTCAAAGAAATATTTTCTCATTATGCGAACATAAATCTTTTATCAATTTTTGATAAGTTTCTATTAACAAAAATAAATAAATAAAAAAAAATCAAAAAAACAAATAATCTCTTTAAAATATTCAAAAAAGTGATTCGTCTAAATTACTTAGATTAATTCTTCGGAAATATCTTATTCGAAATAGGAAAAATATTATGCAGATATCTATAAACATGATTCTGTTTTTTTTACGCAGAAAGAGAGAAGGGAAACACCACAAATGGACAATATATATATATGAGCTATAAGCTATATAAGTTCAAAGCATGACAAGTGCTTTGGTTGGTGTCTCTAAATAAAAGTAAAAAAAATGACAGAAAACCTGAAACTTGAGCACTGAAAGTTTGTGCAGCCTTGGCTACTTGTGGACTACACTATTAGTCATCGCTTCTAATTTGACAGATATTAGTTCTGTTAGTCCAAACAAATTATATACGGACTATAAACTAATTAAAAAGAAATTCGAATATTTTCTAAGATCAAAATTAAGATCCTAATTAACAAAATTTTTGTGCTTGTTTTGTTTTTGCTATTCGAATCCTTCTAAATTTAAAAAAAACAGCTTCTTTGTGATTATAATAAAGCGTAGCGTTTTTGGCAAAAATAATTAATTTTATATATACTATAATATTGTATACAGAAAAGGAAACACCACAAGCGGACAAATGGACGAATTAGAGTTATCATCATTTAATTCTTTTATTTTAAGTTTATTTGCTCACGCTATTTGTTTTAATATTAATTTTTTCTTCTAATATTAAAACTGAAAATTCCTTTATGAATACACTTAATTTCAATATTCATGTTTTATAAATACAAAAAGGATAATTAATTTTAATAAATTTCTTTTATTTCTTGTTCTTGGCTTATAATGGTAAATGTTAAAATTTCTCCTGCGTTTTGCTTATATACAATTATTTATTCAATTTCATTCATTGAATTTCTTAAACTATTGCATTCTCAACATTTAAATAATATTTTTGCAGAATATATAATAACTTAAAAAATTTGTTTAACATATATAAACAATACATTTATTTCTAGCTTATATTACGACTTGTATAATATTAAATAGCTTATATTTTAAACTTAAATAAACAAAATTATTACATAAAAAAATTATTTAATATTTATATTAGTATTTATTGCTATGCTAATATAATTTAACAATATAATTCTATTAACATTATTATGCTTATATTCTATGTTATTACTTTGAGGAACAGGTTTTATGGTTGTCAAATAAAACTATATATATATAAGAATAAAAAAAAATTTTAAAATATATATAAGTGATAAAAACAAATTGCATAGGAAATTCTAAATGAAATTTTTGTATATATAAAAGAAGCTAACCTTAACCTAAATACAAAATTTTCATATGCAAAAAAGTCTTATTTATCTAAGAAATAGATTTCAGATTATTGATAAAAAAAACAGCAATAATGTGGTCTACACAAAAAATAAACAAATAATGTATGAAAAAATTCGAACTTTGAAAAATTATTTTTTTCAACTACTTATCTTTTTCTAACTCAGATCGTTTTATCGTTATTTCTATGTCAATGTTAAATGTTTATTCAATTCTTTTTATAAATTCATATAATATATTTTACATGCAATGCCTAAAATTATTAATATTATATTATTATTATTTATATTATTTCTATTTATTTAGCAATGAATCTATTGAAAAGTCTTTAAACTTAGCATTTGAATCTTCATAGAATAATTGTTGTGTTTGTTGTTGCAATATGTCTTTCTCAACTGCAACATGTGTAGGCACATTTGTTGCTAATGAAAATGTTTTCAGCTTGTTGCGTGGTTTGTGCAAGAATTTTGGTGATATTGTAAACTTTGCAGGCTTTGTGGTCATTGAATTTGCTTTACTAGAAAATGCACTTGTTTTTGTTGTAGTGGAAGTTGTTGGTGTTGTTATCGAGGCGTTCAAAGTCAGTGGTGCCGCTGCTGCTGTTACTGTTGCTACTGCTGTTGTGCTATTAACTTTAATATCATTTGTTGTTGATGTTCCTGTAATTGAATGTATATATGCTTTTTTCATGTTGCGCCAACTGCGCAGCGTAGCGTTTGATGAGTTTAGTTCGCTTAAATCACTTGTTGTAGTTGTTGCACTGGGAACTGATGCAGCCATACACATTATAGGTTTATCTTGATTAGGAATTTTTTTTTTATTATTTTTTGTATGCAGAATTTCAACTTGTTTTTCATTGAAATATTTTTTCTCATAATTTGTTTCTTCAAAGATTTTTGTGGGAGTGCTTAAGGTTCTGGCAGTTTTGTATACATTTGTTGTTGTAGCGGTATTGTAAGTAAATGCAGTTGTTGCATTATCATGTGCAAATGTTGTTATTGCATTACTGTTAGTAAACTTTGTTATTGTATTGTTTCTGGTCAGTGTTGTGATTGCATTACAATTGGTAAATATTGTTGTTGTTGTTGCTGCTATTGCAATATCAGAAGTAGTCGTTGTTGTTATTAAATTATGTTTACTAAAACAATTCAAGAAATTTTGTACTTGTAAGAGATTTTCATTTGGACGCGGCATTCTTTTGTAACCACGACGAGTTTCTTCACTTTCATTTTCATCCTCAGCTTCATAAGAATTTGGTGATGTTGTCGTAGTTATGGTGCTACTCTCACTAGTATCCTCATCCTTTTCAACAGTACGCAATAGTGCTAACTTTTCTATGGTTTTATGAAGATGCTCTTGTTGTTGTTGATCCTTGAGTTCTTGTGTTTTATACAAAAACTTCTTATATTTTACTTTTTTGGCAAAGATTTTATTGTTTTCTGTAGTAAATTTATCTTTACTATGATAAAGTTGTTGTTGATATTGCTGCTGCTGTTCATTTATATTTTTATTATGTAACTTTCTTTTTGTTGTTTTTGTTGTTGTTTTATACTTCATTGACCTATTTTTTTGTTGTTTAGAATGTTGATTATCACGGAACGATTTTCAGCTGGGCTTTGCTAGGTTATCGTCGCGTCTTAGATGGGGCTAAATTAAAAAAAGTAACAAAAATGCTTAATAATTTCATTTAACATAAAATTTTTGGAATATTTAAACATTTTTACAACATAAAACAGTAGCAAACCATTACTTAAACAGTTAAAATAATCACGAAAGTAGTAGACCTTATAATTAAGGAACTTTAGAAATTTAATATGAAAGAGAATAACAAAAAAATATTATATATAAAGAACTTATCATTTAAAAAATTCCACAAGAGTTTATTTATATAGACACTAAAGCTTGAAATATAGCTTCGCGCTATTCGATATTTAAATGATCGAGCCGTTGCAAAATGTGCAAACATTCTATTGCTTTCATACGTATTCGTATAACACAAAATCGTAATAAAATGAAATATAAAGCAGATTTGCAATTTGAGCAGCTCAAACATTTTATTTGTTCGATTAAAATGTTTGAATTCTAACTTAGCTGTTCATACATCGTAACGTTAGAACATTAAGTTCTAATAGACATCAAAGAATCATTGTTAGTTTGATTTTGCGATTTAACTTTAAAGCTTGGGTGAAGATAAGGGTGAAATACAAATACAAATTACATTTATCTAACAGTTAACTGATAAGTTGTATGAATCCACTGCTTATAAAGAAGTCAAAAATAATTCAATATGATTAATTCAGTTTATTCCAATGTGAGTTCTCAAAATAATTATAGTAAATTTAAAATACAAAAATTAAATTTAATTACGATCCTGATTTCTGTGCACGTTAATTCGACAACTAATTTTAGTTAATTACTTGGTACTAATCTCATTGGGCTACATGTCAATATAATTTAGTTTTTTAGTTAAATTCAGTTATTAAATTTGATTTTAACGCCCATATAACAGTAATGACTATTTTTACTTTTACAATCTTTAGTACTTTTAGTCTCAAAAAAATTATTTACGAATAATTAAATACAAGAAATAATTCCAGTCAAAAATTCAATTAATTAAAATGGTATAAAAATAATTTTTGTTGTTGTAGTTCACTATTGTTCGAAATCTCTCTATTAATTATTATTTAATTTTCTGAAGATAGTTTTCAACTTTAAGGCCAATAATTTTAACCATTAAAAACTATTATAATTATTCAAGCAAACAAAACAGTTTTTAAGTTAAAATTACTCAGAGAGGACTATGACCGTCGTATTTCTTATTTTGTTCAACCATATTTTCTGTCTATCAATCTGTTTAATTATACTATTTCATTTAATCATATAACACCTAAGCTTTGTGAGACAATCATTAAAGATTATATAGATACTATACCATTTATAAAAAAAAATATTTTTTTGCACTATGAGTATATACAATATATACTGAAGTTTTATCAAAATAGTTTGCTACTGTTTTTAATGAAAGATATATATATATATATATATAGACTAAATAATTTATATAGAAGTTCTATAATTTTGCTTGGAATGGATTGTGGATATGTTAATGTGGTTTGGATGTTAATGACTGTTAATGAAAATTTTGATGATAAGAAATGAAAAGGCAATCCCTTATAAATCATTAACATAGATATGTTAAAAAATTTGCACTACATCCAATTAATTAAAACAAAAAGGACTTAAAACGTATTAGAATCTGTCATAAATGAGTTGAAATGTTCATAAGGTGTTTTCGGGCAATAAAATTTGTCGAGAATATATATCAAAACACAAATCTAAAAAGAATATAAAAATAAATCAAGTAAGATTTTATGAATTTATATATAAAAACATTCGTTTATAGATTGCCTAGTAGCAGTGAGAGTTTTTCAAACATGATGATAAAATAAGAAGAGCACAACATGGCATGCTTTGTAATACATTGAACATACTGAGAATTATAAGTTCAAAATTAAAGTAACAATGAAAAATGAAAATAATTATTATTATTCCGATAACACCACACATACGTAAATGTTTAATAGAGAGTCACAATTACAACAATTAGAATGATTCTATTTATTATTAAATTTGTTTTTTTTTTGTTTTTTGGTACATTTAACACTTAAGCCCACCCACAACACGCATTTCGCCACTACACTACCTGATGATGAGTATAGAGCGATTGATATGCGGTACCACTAACATTTCCACCACCAAGACTGATTGTTGATAACGTTGACCCACCTCGTCCAGGTACACCGGATAGTGAAGAAATGCCACCACCAACGCGCACTGAACCTGCAGTCATTGAATGGTGCTGTACATCATGATGCTGTGCATGCTGTGCGTTATGCGTTATATGTGCATGAGAATGTGCTGCATGTACTGCATGTGTATGTGCAGCTGCAGAAGACTGCTGACAGTGCGTGGGATGTTGGTGCTGCGATAGTTGTTGTTGATGATGATGATGCATTGCTGATTGTGCGTGTTGTTGTTGCATGGATGAGGAAGAAGCAGCTGTTGTATGATGATGTGGCGGTTGTTGCTGATTATGATGTGATTGCAACGATTGCTGTTGTTGTTGTTGCTGTTGCTGCTGTTGTTGTTGATGATGTTGTTGCTGTTGTTGTTGTTGTGCTAAGCGATTATTTGCATTTGCTGTTATTGGTGGCATTGTTGGCATTGCTTGACCTGAATTATTATTATGGATGTTGCTGTTGTTGGGATTATGTGTTGATGATAAGCTATTAGCTGTTGTTGTTATTGAGGAGGTATTATAATTCACATGAACGGATGAGGATTGTCTACGCACATACAAGGAAAAGATAATTATATAAAAAAATAATAAGATAAAAAAAATTTTCAAATCATAATTGCTGTAGGCTGTACAAACAATAAATACACAGTTTTGGGATTAGATGTGCTCCAGTAAGTTTTTGGTAGACTAAAAATGAGTATTTATTGAATTTGTAGAATATTACTAACCTTAAACTAAGCGATGTTGCAGAAGTAGCATTTCCACTTTGTTGTAAGATTGGCGTTGAGGAGGTAGATGAGGCAGCTGCAGACATTTGCCGAAAATCAATACCATTTTCCATGTTATTAGGTAGCGTCGATGTGTGATGTTGTTGTTGTTGCTGTTGCTGTTGTGCATTTGTATTTGCATTATGGCGCGTAGCAGCTACAGATGATTGCCTTGAATTAGTTGTTGTAGATAGTGAAGTTGTTGCTGCTATTGCTAGGGAAGCAGCTGTTGCAATTGAAGATGTTACTGAATTCGTTGTACCTGTAGTTGTGGAAGCAACCGTTGCAATGCTTGTTGTGACTGATGAATTCGTAGCACCTGTTGATAATATGCTATTTGCTATAATCTTGACTTTGAGTTCTAGTTTGGTTAGTTTTTTTTTTTTTTTTTTTTGTGGTGGAAAATAAAATGTTATCTTTTGTTAAAGCAAAACCGAAAATTATGCGAAAACAAAAAATAACATGAAAAGTTTGCATTTCCAATAAACCATAATGATAAGAGTATGAAAGAATCAGTAGTATCAATATACCTTCGATATCACTATAAATAGTGATTTGCTAATAAATATACATATATTATTTATTTTGCATAATGAATATGCTAAAGACTTTATATGCAAAATATAAAGTACATACGAATGGTAAGAAGTATTATGTACCAAAAAGATTTATTTTGTTTGGATGCCGATAGAAAAAATTGCAATTAAATTTATATGTATAATGAAATAATTTCATTAAGTGTTGAAAAAAATTGTGTATTTCCCTGTGCCCCTTTTTACTCTATTCGCATTACACAATTTTAATTATTAACAAACAAAAATTAAATAATATATAATTAATTAAAAAATAACCAACGCCAAAAGTAAAGAAACATTTCATTAGAAAATTAATGTGGAAATATTAATGTATTAAATAAAAACAAACACCATTTGAATTAAGTTTTAAGGATTTATGTATTTATAAATATATACATATATATACATATATATATTTATATATATAATACAAATTTATTTTTTGTACATATGTGCATATTTAAATGATTAATAATATTAAGGTTTAAAACGCTAGAAATAAATTAATATATATTGAAAACATTAAATATTTCTTTTAAATTATAAAATTATATATATACATATATTATAAATTAAATGCTTTCACAAAGGGTTAATTTTGTTTACGTGTTGTGTGCTTATATGTAAGTGTTATTTTGTAAGTGTTCTTGTGTGAATTAATTATTAATGCAAAGAAATGTATTTTAGTAATTTATGTATAATTCTTAATTGTTCCTTATAATTAACAAATCTGTTTCAAAAATTGTTTGATATATGTATAAAGTTTTTCAAATAAAATGTGAGTAATTTATTATTAAAACAATAATCTAGTTAACATTTACCTCATACATAGGCCCAAAACAAACCCATAAACCCAAAACAAACTGGATTGCTTTCTAAGAATTAATTTTAGTGTATTAAAAAGCTTTTCACAGTTTAAATTTAAATCACACTAGATTGATTTCATAGGTTGAAAATTTCTACGCATAGCATTGTGTTAAACGAATGAGGTGAAATTGTTTATTTTTTAAATTTTTTTTTATTTTTTTAAGTTTATATTATCATTGTTAAATTACTGCTATACAATATACAATAGCCTAGAAAATCTTTGAGATAATTGTTAAAGTCGATTTTCGACATGATTTTTAAAGAGCTCAGCGATTTGGTTTTTATCTTCTTAATCGCTCTTCGGAGTGATATCTAAAGCTTAAGGAATAGCCAGAAGCCACATAATGCTAATACGATAAAATAGTCCCGAACAAACAATGCATTGTGAGATGGTGCATTTTAGTTTTTCAAAAAACTAAGAACTGTCTGTCTATAATTTTGGCTTCTTTTTGCGAATAGTTGCACGTAAATGTTGCATAACGCTCAAACAATATACCTTTTTGTCAGTTTAGCTTCGTACTATGATAAGGAATCTGGTTAACATGAGCTTCAATATCGGTGTGATATTTTTGGTTTAGCTTATCTTTTGCATGGTATTCGCTTGATTGGTAAGTTGTTTTCAGGTCACATGAATATATTAAAGTTTCATAGGCAGTTAAAATGCATTTCTTCTTCTGGTGATAAAGTTAGAAAGATTGTTTTAACAACCTTCAACGTAAAACTGTTTTTTCCAAAAAATTGAGTGATTTTGGCACTAAACAAGCTTTCACCATTTTATATGTACAAAATGATTTGAACTAATCCAAATGATACATTGACAGTATCAATGAGGTATCTAATTTACAATCTAAAATATAAACATACTCTCAACTTTTACTAACATTTGAGTTGAGATAACTTAAACTTAAATCGATTTTATATATCAACTCGTAAAAGTGTTTTTTGAAAAACTTTTATATATCAAATAGTATGAGTTCTTAAGTAATTTATACAGGGTGATCAAATCAGTACTACATTTTTAAAATTTTTTCAAACGCAGAGTGGCCATTTTTTAGATTTCTCAAATATGATCATTTTTGTTCAGTAAAGTTTGGCAAATAAATCAGAATGCAAAGATACTCAAGTACATAGTGCAATTGCACAAAGGATTCTTGAAACCAAATACATAAGAGGATAATGAGGCGTATACAAAAGGAATAAAAGATTTTAGATTTTAAGGAGATTATAAAGGGGAGTTAGATAATGTAAGGAATGAGACAATGGTTGGGATTGTCAATATAATAGTAGTAAACTTACTATTACTAATCTAATTAAAAAATTCAGGTGAAATGGTAGTTTGTGATGTTTGAAATCAACCCGTCAAAAAAAAAAATTAAAAAGGATAAATTTTCCTTTCGTAGACTTTTATTAATTATGTTCGTACCGTTGGATTGCCAAATAAAAACTTTTGAATAATTTCTTTAAATCTAATTAACTTATTTTCCTGCCCTTATATAATAATAATATTTTTCTCTTGTAAAATTATTTATATACAACTTGAGTTTTACTTTAAGGCTGATTTCCTCACAATATATATAGCTCTTATTTGATCACTGTGCATAAGAAAAATAACGATATTAATCAAGTTAATTTCTAACTACTTATGTACGATTAAGATTGATTTTGAACAAATTTGTTATTTATTATTTGACAATAATGACATGATAGAATTTTAATAATATACAGAAAATGTTTTAATATATGTGTTTATATTTTACAGATTAATTTAGGTTTTTATTGTTAACATATTCATAACTAAATACTTATATCTTTATTTTAAAAATTAAAAAGAAAAGAAGAATGGATTTTATCCAACTTAAATAAATTATATTTATATGTGAGAAAATGCTTGTTATATATGTTGTACGGCATGTTACAATGTGTGCTTCATTTGATGTAGTAAGATTTTTAAATTGAGGTGGACATATTGAAAACATAAGCAAACTCATATATAATTACATACACATACATTACATTAAATTAAATTATTAAGTGAGCATACATACAAACAAACATATTCAAACTTAAGATATGCTGTTAAATAAATTAAAATATTTACATTTTTCTTATAACTTTCTATTGAACCATTAAAGCTTAAAAATTTATATAAAAGACATTGTTTAGTTGTAGTTGAGAAAAGTATACGAATTTTTTTATTTCGTTTTAAATTTCATCTTGCGTTCCTCTTGCATAGACTACTTACCTTGACTCTGTGTTGTATTCGAATTCAATGGTATTGTAAGCCGAGCATTAACTGCTAATAAATGATCTCGTCGTGCTATTAAATTGGCTAAATTCGTCTCCAGACGTCCATTTTCTGTTTGTAATTGATGCAGACAAGATAGCAGAGAAGCAACTATAAAAAATATATAACACTCAGTTAATATACACTACATTTTAAATGATTATATTAAATGATTATATTAAATGAGTATATAACTAAAAAAGAAACAAAAGTGTTTATATTTTAATATAAATTAATTATTAGTCAATATCATATCTATGTCTGGTATGCATTTTTATGAGGAATACCTAAGACCACAAAGAGCATAGTTTCCAAGGACCATTATGTAAATGTAAATAAATTAGAAACCTAGAAAATAAATTCTGTAATACTAAAAAAAATTGAAGCAAGTTAAAAACAATGGCACAAGTACGTACTAAAAGTTAGGGAAGGTTTTTTGCAATTGCAATGTACTAAGAGGAGTTAAAAGCTGTTGTTGTTGTTGTAACCCATTTGGAACTCAAAAATATATACATGAATGGGACTACAAAATATCCATAATATGAGGGGAACAGAGATAAGGAAGATATCGAGAAAAAAAGCAATGAAGTGACCAATGATAATATTATGTAGTGATGATTCAAATAGAACATTGTGTTGTAAGATGATTTTTTTATTAATGGAATATATATGTAGAGTAACTTTTGAATTCCAATTAATTAAACCATTTCTACATAGTATGCAGAGTGTTATCGTTAGTAGAAACATTTATTTATTTGTTAAGGGTATTTATCTGTGTATCTTTTCTCCAATAAAAATTTATATTTTTTGGTACTATAATAAGTGAAATTAATATATCCTTTATCTTTACCAAAATCTAAAGCAATAAACAACGTAAACAATAATGTTCGAAGTGTAAAAAGGTTTATTAATTTTGTGAAGACATTTTTATTGTAGTGAAAGGTAATATAAATTGAAATGACTAAATCCGAATGTTATGTATGTATTTTAAAGTATTCTCTTATTTTTTTAAATAAAAATATCTTATTATAGGATTATATATGGTTTAAAAAGAACTGCCTTAAAAATTTTGTACTCATTATATTTAACTTATTTTTCACAAATATAAAATACAATTATTTTTAATAAATTCCATATTAGTTCTTATATGAAAAAAGATTTCAAAATATTTGTGCTAAATTTTTTCTTCAGAAACTAAACATTACCAAAATAACCAGTAAAATTTTTATCGACTTATTTAGATGCTACTACTATACAATTACCAAATAAACAAATGTATGAAACAATTTTAAAAAAAAGTTCAAGAAATCAGGTAAAGGGTAACTAGTTTCAACTTTTAAGACCTATAAAACCTTTTGTGTTTTCGCTGCTGAAATACTTTAATTTTAACTTGGAAAGAATTGAAGAATAATTCAAGTTTCCAAACTTCTTTTAATTTGTTAAAATAAAAAAATATATATATTGGATTCGTTTTCTGATAATCGGAAGAAAGATGCAAAGTACTCTAGAGTAATGGTTCTATTTCTTACAGAATAAATAGGGTCTTCGCATGCTTTAATCTCATAAATTAACGTTGGTAGTTGAAAAATCAGTTTTAAATTCAGATCTAATATTTGTAAAATACTTTAGAGATATATATTTGCTTATCTTTTACAATTTTATATAAGATTTTTTCTCAAGGTTATGAAAATCGTCCTTTAAGAGTTTAAATATAATAATTAATGTATCAAATATTAACGTATACGTTATTTTCTTAATAATAAAAAGAGAAAAAAGTTAGCACTTACTATCAAAATGCTGTGCTTGCTCCATTAAAAATTGAGATCCTTGTTCCCACTGACGTTCCAGCAACTGATCTAAACTTTGTGGTATAGCATTGCCATTAATATTACCACTAAGCATAGATGATAATGGATTACTGCTAGCACCAATGGCTAAAGTACCCGATGAGTTCGAAATAGCCGTTGAATTCAAACGCTAATTTACAATTGAAAAAAAAAAACAAAATTATTACTGAAAACAATTTAAATAATAAACAGTTTTTACTTGTACTTTTCCTGGGAATGGTACACCCACATATTGTGATGTTACTAAGTCTGATGTATAGACACTATGATCCTGAATTTCCATATGTAGTTGATCAGAAAGTCGTTGTGCTACGCTGCTGTTTGGATTTATTTGATTTCCAAGCATATGAGCAGCTGATTGTGGTGCGGAATTAGATGAAGTGGTAACTGGCACAACAGTGTCAGATGTAGTCCGTGCAGCAATGTTACCATTTTGAAATATTCTAAATTCCTTCTCGTCATTGCCAATACTGATGGGTACATCTTTTGTTTTACGACCACGTTTACGTACTGAACCTGCCTCTGATCCGGGTGAGCTTGGTGGGGACTCTTTGAAAGTTGTTAGTTGTAAATTTGTGTCAACTGTTGTTGGCGTAGATAAATTTGTTGTTCCTGGTTGTGCTTCATAGCAGAATTTCAGTTCACCTGCTGCAGTCGCAGAGGTATTATTATTATTACTTTGCAGTGACGATGACGAGGAATATATACCACTATCGGGTGTTCTATTTTGTGATATAGTCGTTGTTGTTGTTGCAGCAGTAAAGGAGGTGGTTGTAGTTGTTATCGTTGTCATATTCGGTAATATTGATGATGTTGTTGTAGTTTTTGTAGTAGTGTTGTTATTTTGTGTAGTTGTAGCATTAGCGGCATTAGAATTAGAAGAGGAAGAAGCAGAAATTGGAGTTTTTCCATTTGAGTTATTTAATTGCACAATTTCTATAAGATCATCATTCACATTCACATCTTGTTGTGAGGAATTTGGTAAATTGCTTGGATTATTGGATGAATTGGATAAGGAATTAGTAGAAGAGTTATTAGTAGGATTATTGTTTGCACTGCTATTGGTATTGGTATTAGAATTATTTTTATTATTAGTTTTACTTTCGGGTGAACGTCGTTGTTGTTGCTGGTAGCCTGCAACATGCTGTTGCTGCTGTTGTGCAGCTAACTGTTGCTGATAAAGCGTTTGCTGTGCGCGCAATAGTTTCTTATTTAAAGGTTTGCCACTAGAATTGGACATATTTAAAAGATTTGGTGGTTGGGAGGTATTTAACAATTGTGCTTCATTATTTATGTTGCTAGTATTGTTGCTATTATTATTACTAACACCAGCACTATTATTGCTGCTAGGTTTTTTATTATTAGATTCATTTTTGTTTGAAAAACTTGATAGACTAGTGGTATTTGTATTAGACAAATTGTTTAGACTAGACATTGAGTTAGATATGGAAACATTTGGATTAGCAGATGAAGTAGTATAACTACTAGATTGATTTGAGGTATCATTTGGATTTTTGTTATTGTTGCTGTTATTACTATTATTGTTGTTAACCGTGCTTTTTGAGCGTGTTGGTGAAGAATTTTTTGCTGTAGAACCTGTAGTAGATGTCGATTGTGTTTGCAACATAACTACTGGAGATGGTGACGGTGTTACATTCGGTGTATGTGTAGGTGTAGGCGTGCTGGGCGGTGGCAATGATAATGGTGATGGTGCTGTTGGTGGTGGGGTAGGTGTGGCAATTTCACTGCGAAAATGTTGCGGTGAATTCGTAGCCGATGATGACGATGACTTAGACAATTTCTCAGCTGTGGGTATCTCAATTTTACTCATGGAAGCAGCTGCTGCAGCAGCTGCAGCTGCACGCTTCTTGCCAGAACGTGAATTCGATTTTTGTTGTGATTGCTGCTGTTGCTGCAATTGTTGTTGTTGGGTATGTGACATTCCATTTTCACCAGAACGTGATCTATTTTATTTGCAACAATTTTTGTTTTGGGTGAATTTGATATTTTCATTGAAATTGAATCGGTTGGTGGAAAATGAGGTGAACAAACATGGATGTTAATTATATTACATTTCAAGTTACGTATATTAAACAAAATTTCAAGTTCAAACAATGGCAAAAATTCAATGAATACAACAGAAATGCAATAAAATTGTTCACAAAAAGAAAAATATAAATTAAAACAAAAAAAAAGATATGTAATTAAGCTAATATGTTAGGTGTGTTGGTAATGGGCATGTTTATACTGTTTTTATATGTCAGTGTAATTGTGTTTTGGTTTAGATGTTTAATATAGAATTGATTGGAAAACAGAAAAGAAATCATGAAATAAAGTAATTTCGCAAAAATCAGGCAAATAGTTTTAAAGAAAATAAAATTTTTAAAATAAAAAATGCGGCTGGAATAGATGTAGTAATCTAAGGATAATAATACAGATGATCTTAAATGAAGTCTTCGCTTTTAAAATATATCTAAAAACTAGGTTGTGAACTGTATTAAGTTGTAAAATGGTTTAATCCAGTGGTTTGATACCCAACAATTACATTGCTGCAGTGGTGCAATAGTCTGATACAGTTTGAAAACTGATTTATGTCGTCTCTGCCTTTTGCTCGGAATTTGCAGTGTCAGTGGGGTTCGGTTCAATTATAATAAAAATTTTAAGATTACGGATCAAAACTGATTTAGTTACAAACAGATTCTCAGCGCAGCTAACATAAATAGCCTTAATTGAAAAAAGATAAATTTTTATAGATACCATAAGGTATCACTTTAATAATTTTCTAAAAGAACTTAAATAGATTTTATGGATAATATTTATGTGAAATTTACAATCAAATTGATTTTCATGAATTAAGACATCCACAAAACTAACTATATAAAATAAATTATTTCGCAATGCAAATCGAAATAATTTTAATAGTTGGTTAGATTTAATCAGATAAGCTTAGATAAAGTAAAACCAGCTTGACATAAGCCAAGTATAAACTTATTGGCACCTAACGTTACTAGATCGAATTAAAGCTCATGTTGAATTGTATTAAGAATTTTGGAAATTTTAAAGTCCCCATAAAATTTTTTATACATTTTTATAAGCGTGTTTTTATATCAGACTTTAGTATCTCAAATTATATGGAACTATATGGGAGAGAAATTCTGTGATTTATTTTAATTTATCAAAATTATTTGAAGTGTTTAAGCAGTTTTAATAAAAAATGTTTAACTAAATATTATATCTCATTTAAGTTCTAACCAAAATTCTTAATAATTCTTAAGAATTTAAGTGTTTTAGATGATGTATAGATGAAAAGCAGATCTTCACATGTGGGTCCAAAAACATATTTGTGGCAGAATATCTTTAAATATTGGAATATAAGCCAGCTTATGATGGTTTGAATCCATTATTTTTTTTAAGTTTACTTTGCTTCATAGCAAAGTTAAAATATGCATATAGTAGTATCCATAGAATAGAATGAAGTCAACAATAGGGGCCATTTTTAATACATTGTAATAAAATTAAGGTCCCTATGCTCCACTAGAAGAGAATGGCAGCAGTAAGTAAATAAGTAATAAAATTAAACCAATTTGTAGATTCTTCCGAAAAGTCCACCGTGATATTGATGATTAGTCCATCCAAATTACATTCAGCTACTTTTAAGCTATGGCAAACACTGATTTAGATTCCGCGTAAAACAAAAATATTAGCAGCTAAATTTTGTAAATAATTTTGCAATTTCGAACAGTAACAACAGCAACAAAACTCAAATAAAAACATTAAAAAAAAATTTTATTTAATAAATTTAATCATTTAAAATTAGATACCAAATTTTGTTTAGTAAAAAGGAAAAAGTTGAAGTAAAATAGTTAGGGTAGAGTGTGCAAACAAGTGTGAGGTGTTATAAATTTGGGGAATGCATGCTTGAGAATGTGATTTTTTCTTTGAATATTTTATATAGACTCACCTGCTTCTCCTAACTGGTGCTGATTCTTGCTCCTGTAACTGTGACACCCTTGTTGTTTGCTTTTCGTAACTTATTTTGAGATTACCACTTTCAGTCGTTGTTGCGGTTAAATTACCAGCAACTGATATATTGGGTGTAGGTGACTTGCCACTTTGATGGATAACCCCATGTGCGAAGGACGACGGTGGTAAGGAGTTTGTACTATTTGAATAGTTGCTAGCATGTTCAGATACAATAGGTGACTGATGTTGTATACGTGGTGATTGCCGCTCCACTGTTCCACTGCTAGACGTACTCAAATTAGTACCGGCTACAGAAATGCCATGCGTATTACTGTTGCCTGTGGTTTGCTGTTGATGACTAGCTGTACGCGTTGACTGTGAAGTTGACCCATGATCTAGAATAATATTAAATATTACTAGTTTTAGATATACTATATTAAATACATTTATGCCATCACCTGTATTACCCGCTCCTGTTGGTGTTGGTAAATTAATTCCAGGTACATTAGCTGTAGAAAGCGGCACTGAAACATATAAACTGGGCGCATTACTAACACTCAAATTACTCCCACTACTGTTCACACCAGTTGGATTCAGTGATGTTGTTGTACTATGAGTTGTATTTGATACTGCGGCAAAGCGCTCATCACGATGATGATCTTTAGCTGTTGTTGATACTGTTGTTGAGCCTCCTGTTTTGTGCGTTGTTGTGATTGTATTTGCTGCTGACGTGACATTGCCACTAAGATTAATTGCAGTCTTGCTGTCGTTTGGGGAATTCTTATTTGTTAATTGTGTAGCTGAATTAGCTGACGTAGTTGTCGCACCAACAGTAGCTGCTGTTGTTGTTGATGATGCTGTTGAACTTGAATTTTGTATGATCACCGCACTAGGGGCCTGACTACTTGTATCAGCATTTCCACTTTGATGTGTGGGTGGGCTTAACTCAGTTTTTTGCTAAAATAAAAGAGAAATGCATATTAATATTTTTGTTTTTTGAATAATTAAGTAAAAAATTAAATAAAATTATAAACTTAAATCTATATATTAAAAACTTTAATAAAACTAGTTATTATAGTATATCTAAAACAAAATGTAAAAATTTTAATACATTTGGACATATGTAACCGCAGAGTGTTCCTTACTATATCATTAAAAGCTATTATAAAATTTCTATGAAATAAGGAGACCTACAGGTTTTTCGACTATAATCACTTGTTGAATTTCTACCAATCAAGAACTATTCAGTCCTATTAAATGAATAGGTATAGAAATATACTAGACAAATATTATGTACAAACGTATTATAACAAATTTAAAGTTAGTGATGAAAGTCTTAAAAATATGCGGATTAAATAATCTGTTGTTGTGTTCCGATACTAACTTCTTGAATATTAGTGCTTTCTTACAATGGCAAAACTGACAATTAAACTTAAATAGAATCGAGGGCTACTCAGGCTTGCAATAATGATAAAATATGGTCGGTTTATTTACTGAGCTAATAGAGCTGTCATCTCTTAGAGTAAGATTTGTTCCTTTTTACTTGAATGAGAGAATCGTCTCTTCTGTCCTTGTTTCTATATTTTACGGACATTATCTCATCCGTAGTATTACAATCGGTAATTATTTGTAATCACATGTACGTTCGTTGCTAAACTAGCTTGACACTCTAACCTATATGCCGTTTGCTTTGAAACCATACAGTATCACGCAACGCTCGCCACAACTTATCGATTATAAAATCGATTAACAAAAACAATATGTTGTTATATAATGAAATGCACTAAAAAGTATTGAAGGTAAAAATTTGCATAATGTATATGAAATATATGATTAATTTTAGATTCATTCAACAAAACCTCCAACACTAAATATAACATTTCATTACCCATAAAATTTATAGAAACATTTGATTATAAGTACTGTAAATATTATTTATTTTATTATTTAGATTAACGACTATAAATCATAATAAATTTAGTCTTTAATTTAAACTTATAAATATTTACCATTATTCCGGCAATAAATATTATATATTTAATTATTACTTTTAATTAAATTAGGATAAAATAAAATCACAGCCGAGCCCACTAATAATACTAAAGAATATAAATCGGTATAGACTGTCAATGTAACTGTGAGTCACGTGAGTTTCTTTAAAAACGCTGTCACAAGGTTTACATGAAATAAATTAATTGACAATCAATTTTTCTATTGTGGTATCTATTTTACAAATTAATGAATATCTATAATTTGCAAAACTGATGTATACTTTTCGGATGTAATAGTAATTTTAAATAATTTTTAATGTGATCTTTGACTGTTCACTTCTGTAAGTATGGTAAAAAATAGGATTATGAAAAGAATTTCACATTATCTTAGCAGCAGAAAGAGTGGTAGTCTTATATTGTAATAGTCTGTATGCTTAATGCAGTATTTATGAAAAATATACAATGAAATGTGTATTTCTAACGTTCAGATACCGTAAAAGTTCTAAACTGGAAAAAGGATTGCAATTTTAAGATAAAAAACCTATTAACAGATGGTAGTTGACAGGAGTAATGTTGCATTTAAATTTACTGATTTGCATCTAAATTAAAACTAGCTAAGTATATTTATAATGCATAAGGGATTTATAGTTTATTATAGAAGAAATAATAACACGCCGATGAGAATCAAATTAAGATTACTTTAAAACAATCGATAGACATGAGAAGAGTAAATAAGTTAATGTTTTGGACTACTACTCTATACAAATGACGGGTTGTAATAATATTTAATAAAGTCCTAAAGACAGATCGTAGTTGGTTTGTCCTGTTAGGGAATCAGTTATAAAACTAGCCGAAACTTAAGTTTAATTACATATATAGATCTTAGGGCCATGTTGTACAGACAGTTATGGTCACGTCAAATGTGATTTTGGTGTTGTTTTCAATGTAAATTAAAAAACTAGGGAAAAGAAAATTTTCGAATTAACTGTAGTCACTGTAATGCAGATTTCTGTATCTCGTCATCTTGGTCAAAACAGTACTGCTTAATAATAAATATTAGAATTTGTTTCTAATAGAAATAAATAAGTATATTTTTGTATGGATATGAAAGCATAAAAATTTTATTGTATATAGTTTCTGTATGTGCATACTTGTAATAAAAAGCAACAATATGCTTGCTTGTACCACTGAACGTCACTTATAAGTACATATGTATTATCAGTTAAATAGGAGAAATAGACTAAATCATAAGAAAAGAACATAACTAACAATAAAATCATATGTAATTTATGTAAAAAGTTATATAACGCTTGAATATAACTAAATAACACCTCTGTATAAACCTTTTTTAATTTTAAAAAACGCACACAAAGAATAAAAGTAATGCATTCACAACCTCTCTATAGCGAACCTCCCTATAACAAATTCCTTTCTATAACGAAGTTTTGTTGAAGACACTGCGATTTTTTATATTTATTCATATATTTGAACGAATGTTCTTAATGTTATGTAAGTTTTTATGAACAAACATGAATTAACATACATAATTCCCAGTAAAATGCAAAAAAAAAAACCTCAACAAAAAAAAAAATTTGTTAACCTCTCTATAGCGAAGACCTCTCTATACCGAAGTTTTTTGTTGCATGTCCCAACAACTTCGGTATAGAGAGGTTTGACTGTAATTTCAATAGAAAATCGTTCTAAAATGATTTTTATTTTGAAATAAAAAAGAAAAATTTTTAAATTAAAATCTTAAAATTTCTATTAAATATCAAAAAATTAATTTTGAATATAATAGATAAAATATTTCTTATTTTATTTTAATTTTCTTTTTTGAGATAATTACTTGTTTAAAAATTTATATTTAAAATTATGCATCTGCTTCAATTTTTGAGCTAAATTAAAATTTTGGAATGAAGTGAAGCGTGTAATATTTTCCCAAATCGGCAATTTGGCTAACATGAAATCTATATCTTTTATTCCCTTAGAAAATATATAATGTGAATATATAATATGAAGGTTAAATCCCACATTTTTTTATATTAATCTAAAATATGAACATTCCACATGCCATACTCTCTTCTATGTTAAAGGTGACCATAGTATATTTTTTACAATAGCTTCTTAATGTTTGTAAGAATTTTTTTTTTATAATAAATTTACAATAGAAAACGTTATTGTAAACACTTGAAATTCTGTAATTACATTGTTACATTAGAAAAAAGATAATCCAAAACAGCCATAAAAACAGTCATAAAATTTATGTATGCACTTCCGCTGCATTTCTCGTACAAACAAGTAGAACAAAACTGCATCTTAGATACATGGGAACATCTGTTTCGATGTTTGGCACAGAGGTGCATACAAAGTAAAAGAAAATTTGTACCCGTACTTTGAAATGCAAGTGGAAACAACAATAGTTTGAACCACAAAGTATTAAAATATTATAAAAATTCAACATATTAAGGTGAGAGAAGCATTTCAGTCGTCCAGCGAGTATGCGTTGGTTCTAATAAAAGTTTTTAAAAAAGTTTAAAGCAAAAAAATTCTAATAAAGAGAAAAAACTGACTAAGTAAGGCAGCTATAATTCTCAAAAAGAGCATTAATTCGTATGAAACCCGCAGAGAAAATAGAAGCTTGACGAATTCACACAGAAACTGATAGAGACATAATGACGTACGTACAGACATACAGACTTCGAACCAAGAGTGTCAATCATTTCATTTGTGGTAGAAAGGTCTCAGCATGGGTAATTTGAAAATTCAATTCATCACAAATGCGAGAAGTAGAAAAATATAACACTTTGTGGGGTGATTTTATGCATTATTGTTTCAACTGGATTTCACATTTAGTATTTTGACTTAACAAATTGTAAGGCTAAAATGTGGTTGAAAATTTCCGAGTTGCAGAGAAGAAAAAACACAATTTCAGATGAATTTTGCATGAATGGCGGCAGTAACAGTAGCACATGCGGAAACATTATTGCAACTGCGTTACAAATGTTGCCAATGAACCAACCACACACCCAAGAACTTTAATTGCATGCAACACCCGCTGAGGCTTTAAAGTGTTACTTACTGTAAAGGAAGGCATTAAAAAAAAAAATAAAAAACAGAAACGAAAAGATATATATATATATTTATAACATATTTACAATAACGTCGAGCACATGCCTTCTTTCCATGTCGGTGCGGTGTGATGACATGGCACAATGGCAAAGCATCTCTCAACAAATGTTGCTTTTCATGAAGAAAATTTGTATCACATTAAATAATTTGTTCAAATATTAACCGACAACTACCAAAAATTACAATATAATGAGTGGTTTACAATGTCAGTTAATAATAGACCATATGCGGTTACACTGGCTCAAATGCGCTTGCACTCCATACATTGTAGGTTATATAGTGCTTGTAGACGGAAAATGACACGAACAGGGGAGAAGATGTAATAACGTATTTAACTTTCTTGTCCTTTGCCAAGGATACAAATTACAAGTTAATTAAACGTCAGCTTAACCAAGGAAATTGTTTGCAAATTTAAATTTGTTTAGTCCATAACTTAATAACAGAAATATTAAATTCCCAGACAGTGAAAATGGGAAACAAGAGAATAATAATTAAAATCTGTTTTTGTTTATTTGGATTCCTTCCAATGTCGCATTCGTATTCTATTTTGAATTACAGAAAAAGTAATTTATTTGCTAATTGGTCTATTGTACATTCAAATGCTTTCAGACTTTAAATGATGAAACCTTTCTGAAACTTGTTGAAGAAAGGTTATAGACTTTTAATAAAGATTTGGTAGCAAGTTTCTTCACATCATATGCTTGATAAGTTTTTATTATAATGTAGGTAGATAATATAATTGAACTTTGTTGTGGTTAAGATGAAAATAATAGTTTTTATAAACTTTTAACATAAGTTGTATATAAATATAGGGTATAAGGACACAGAACTCTTAAT